GGAATCTTCAATTACGTTCTTTCGCGCGTTCGTCTCGCTTTCCTGCCGATTGGTTCCCGCGATCGCGCTTTAACGCCGCGCAATCAACCGGTCGCTCCTGCCGGGAGAAGGATGCGCGGCCGCGGCGAACATTTCTCGGCTTATCCGCGCCGGCGATCGAATCCATCGATCGGATCGACGCGTCGTTAACGCGTCTTTGCCGGAAACGCGTTGCCTCGTGCTCGGATCGGTTCTTCGTCGGACCGTGTTCCTCTTCTTGCGGCCGGGCTCGCCTTGTTACGCGAAATAAGGGGTTTCTGGGAAGATTTGCTGTTAATCTTTTAGCTGCCGCACACCGATTCTGTCTCGGACACCGATAGCTGTGCGGGTTATAGTCTAATCTAACGTAATTGCACGCTGGAGAAATTCTATTAGTCTCGAATCGCAATGGTGGTTCACTTATGATATGCAGACCGCGTCAAATCTTTCTCTACAGAGGTGTACACTTTCGCGGCTAATCTCGCCGTAGTTGAAAGGTCAAGGAGCATGAGTTCTCTGTTATTTTCCAGTTAGGTCGTGGAGTGCTGCACATGTAACATCATCCGATTGTCCATCGGTGACGGAGAAATCTAACGAATTCGCTATTGTTCTCCCACGAAGCATTCAGAATTACCATTACGGAGAACTGTGATTTACATGTGAGTCACTCATTAGCCAAGTCGGTCAACTCGCCAAAACAAACAGCGGGGATGAGTGATGCGATAGTGCACATCAGTTCTGAATATTTCCTTTTAACGCTGAAACCGTGCGATCGAATGGCTTCCCAATTTCTTCATAGAAACGCTAAGAATACATCTACCGAGATTTCGACTAATTTATAATTCTAGCGTCTCACGGAAACAATTTCTTCGGTAATCCTTCAGAGAACAATTTATCATTCCGATATCCGAGGAAGAAACATTTCTCCGAGGAACGGCTCGTTTCGAGCTGTCCGCTAGTTCCACTGGCGAACATGAAATCGAACGAACGTTGCGCGTCATCGTCAAAATCTTCAAAGCGAAGTCGACCGATTTGAACAGCTCGTACATCATTTCCCTCGTTTCCCATTCACCGGTTGCTCCCATACTCGTCCAAAGTTAATTCCCAACGATCTTCGATCGCAACGATCTTTCCCACACCGTAACACTCGCGACGTGGTATCCAGGTGACGGTCAATGCGATCGAGACCTGGTTCCATTGCGTAGCAACGGAAAGCGATCGCCATTGCCGGACAAATTGATGGAAAGAGCCTCGATCCTCTTTGTCGCCGACCGCCCCACGCGTCCCGTACATTCTATCCGCCATTCCCGGCTGCGTTTCCCGCGAATCGACTAAAAAAGCTTAACGAGTCAATCACCGGCCGACGTAATCGCGAACCGATCGATCAGTTATCCTCTCCGAAATCGGCGGGACCCGTCACCCGTTCGGCGTAACGACTCTTTCAGCGAAGTCTTTGAATCGACCTCCGGCCAGAGATCGATCTCAGCCTCCGTGCGAAAGAGTTACGGGGAATCGGTCCGTTCCCGTGGCAAGTGATTCGTTGAACGTCGGCAAATAAATTACGAGCGGTAATTGACAGAATGAAAAGTAGGCGACTCCTACCGGCACCGAAGTCATCGATGACACCATGTATGGCAGCGCTCGCCGATGCAGAAACGTCCTTGGTCGATCTCCTAGAACGTAGCAACCCACCCGACGCGAGGCGACGCGAGGCGACGCGAAGCGGACGCCGCGGTTCAGCTGCGCGTCACGCGGCGCGTTTCCTTCCTCTTCGCCAGGGAAGGTGCAATTTGTCAGTGATTCCTGATCAGTGATTTCACGGAACTCCTAGCCAGCGAAAGACTTATACGCGAGCGTCGCCGATGGATTCAGTCTTTCGTTCGTTTTCAAGGGACGAGCTCGCCGCCACCGATCCCCGAAGAATGTTTTATAGATTTTTCGATCGCTACCGGCCCTTCAACGAGGAGAGCCGGTTCAGGCCGTTTCCGTACCGATTTTACTGTGAGTGATCTTCGCGCGACCGCCGTTTCTCCTCCGTACGCTCCGCGCTGTTCGCCTTTCGGGATGCACTCCATCGAGCTGGGTATTTTAATCGTTCGCACTTGAGAGCTCGCTTTTGCTCGCTACTTCGTTTCGCGGAAGATTGTAAATGTTGCACTTAATGTTGTCGATTGTTATTTAATTCTATTAACCCTTAACACTAGAACGAGCATTTAATACGATTAATATGTAATCCCTATAAAAATTGTAATAATTGATTATCATCGATTCCTTCGGACATTCGTTATAGTATTCGAGTGAAACTATTTACTTTCAAGATCATTTCGAACATTCGATGCTTTTAAGACACCGATAATTACGAAATAAAAACGTTGAAATTATTTTGGTACGGTGGTTCTAGCGTTGACGGAGCAATGCCGCCATGTAAGCGCACTTTGACTTACTCCAATGCAGCATATGAAGGAGATCGTTTTATTAGTTTTATGTTACTGTTGTCGTATTTACAATGAACACGTTAAGTATACTAGCTCACTCCGAAATACTTCCGGTCCGTTAAGGGTTAAGTTATTCAATGTTTCGAGTGCAATCGGTTAACCCTCAGCCGAGTTCTCTGGTTCGAACGTAAGATAAACTCTCTCACTTCACAAACATCCATCCGAAATACGAATCACCAGTACTCAACACTTCCAACAATTTCATAACGAACGTTTGCATCTTCACACCTCGCTACCTCGAATTAATTACTAAATTCCATTAAAAAGCATAGAATTCTATAAATCCATAACAGACGATTCATTCCTTCATTCCCAGCAACCTATTTTTACCGATTAATTTTCGCGTCTACCATTGATCCGTCGGTTCCATCCCCTAACGATCTTGAAAGGATCTTCGTTCGAAAAGGATGATCCCGCTGTTCGCAGGGGAGGATTTCAACGTTCCTGTGCTGACGATCTCGGACGTGGACCCGTGCATCCCTGAGAACGGGGCGAATCACAGGACATGGCGGTACGACTCGATGACCCGGCAGGATGACAAGGCTAGGCTCGTCGTCAGACGCGGCCAGGAATTCTACGTGCACCTCACCCTGTCCAGAGATTACGATCCGAGCATCGATGGCATGTCGCTGGTGTTCACGGTGGATGGCGTGGAGAAACCGCAGTACGGCCACGGGACCTTGGTCGCGACCCCGGTCCTCTATCCGGGACAAGTCTCCGAAGGCTCCTGGCAAGCCACCATCGAAGCGACCGCATCGAATTTCCTTCGTCTAAAGGCAAGAGCTCTGAAAAACGCTTCCCTGTTTTCGAAACGTCGTTTCGAGGCGATTCGTCGTTTTCGAGGAGTCGTTTGGAGGCGTTTCATCGAAAAAGCGATTTCAGTACGGATATGTTAGAACGGTTGTTGTCCTTAGATCGTGCCAGCGCCTAACGCGATCATAGGCAAGTGGAGGATGGACATCGACACGAAGAACAGGAACCTGGACGGGGCAGTCAGCTTCACGATGAAGGACCCTTTTTACTTGATCTTCAATCCGTGGTGCGAAGGTAATGTTCGCGAGGAACGAAACCCTTGCGCCGAAGGTTTCGAGAATCTGATAGACGAGTATTACTCGATTATTGTGAATTCGATAGGAGAGTGTTCAATTGATAATAGATGATATTTAGCAGTTGTATTCTAGAGCAAAAATTTCATAATTTTAGGGTAGTCTCTTTGAGGCTCATTAAAATATTTAATACTACAACCGGTGCAATATTGGAGCCTACAGAGTTCAAAGGGTTAAACCCGATTTCGATTCACCTATCGACTATTAGAACTTCGAACAACGCGGAACCTCTACGATCTTCGATCTTCGAACATACGATCTTCGAGTTTCTATGAGAAAGTTGAAGATCAGTTCGGCTGCTCGGTAGTTCCAGTGTCGAGATTCCGGCGTACTGTTTCAGAGGACGTGGTGTTCCTGGAGGACGAAGACCAACGGCAGGAGTACGTGCTGGCCGAGGACGGGCTGATCTGGCGTGGAAGTTACAATCGTCTGAGGCCGACTGTTTGGAAGTATTCGCAGTTCGAGCGAGACATACTGGACTGCGCGCTGCACCTGATGATCCAAGTCGGGAAAGTCCGAGTGTCCGGCAGGGGCGACCCCGTGGTGATATCCAGGATTTTGTCCGCGGCTGTACGTATCCGTCGAGTGAACCATAAAGCAACGGGTCAACGCGTTAACACTTTGACTGCCACGCCACCCGAATTCGGGTGACATTATATTTTACAGAAAAGTGGACATTCATTTCTTTCGTGACGCATCGAACGAACCGAATTTTGTTCGATATATGAGATATAAGAATTTATTTATATTTATATATTATTTTTATATATTTATTTATATTTATAATATTTCACATAGCAGTACGATACTTCACAGATAAATTAAGCAACAAAGCTGTTTCATTGAAATATTTCGCATAGCAGTAGAAAGTCTAATTTAAAATACTAAATATTCAACTGTATAGTTTTGTCGTGTCAAATAAAGTGGTGACTCTCAGTCACCTCTCGAGTGCAAAGGGTTAAACGGTAGACTAAAAATCCCGCATTGTCGCTGGGCCGGCGGTCGCCTAAGTGTTAAGAGACCGGTCGCGTGTATAGGAGCTCGTCTCCGGCGTCCCGGTTGTTGAACAGTGAAGATATTGGCATCGTTTCAGGTGAACTCTCCGGATGACAACGGCGCGGTGATGGGCAATTGGTCCGACGACTTTGGGGGTGGTACGCCGCCGACTAAATGGCTCGGCTCCCAGAAGATCTTGCAGCAGTACTACAAGACGAAGAAGCCGGTTAAATATGGCCAGTGCTGGGTGTTCTCCGGCGTCCTGGCTACCGTCTGCCGCGCCCTAGGACTGCCCTGCCGCGTGGTCACCAATTACGCCAGCGCGCACGACACTCAGAGCAGTTTGACCGTCGATTATTTCGTGGACGCCGAGGGCAGGGTGATGGAGGAGTTGAACAGCGACTCGATATGGCGAGTAACCAGTTTGTAGAGTTGATCCCGCGCTACGAGCAATGGTTCCTCGATAAAAACAGATGGTTCCTATCGTTGGTAACGTCTTTGAGGAATGTATTTCAGTTGGAGATATCGCTAAACGTTCATTCGATCGATGTGTATACTTGTAGCAGGAAATCTGTTAACCCCTAGAACCGGTGCAACATTGGAGCCCACAGAGTTCAAAGGGTTAATCTCTAACCCTTAAAGTAGATGCAGATAAAGTATAAAATTTGTATAACTCTCTTCTAAATTCTTAACGACATTGTTCGAGCACAGTTGCGAAGTAAATCGAGTAAATCAAGGGGTTAACCCCTTGGCCTATGATTTCTTTTTCAACTCTCATCGACACGACTACTTTATCATGAATAATTTATTGGAAAGAGAAAAATTCTAAGCATATGTTATTCCTATACTTCCTTTTAAGTATAATAGTTGATTACAGAGGAATAATATTTACTTTGAATTCGAATTAACTGAGTAATATAGACATTTGTTGAATCACGTTGAAAATCTTCACCACGAGCCTACAGAGGGTTAACTGGTTAACGTGTCAATTGTTTCGCAGGAACTTCCACGTTTGGAACGAGGTATGGATGAAGCGGCTGGATTTGTCGCCGGACTGTTCGGGCTGGCAGGCGATCGACGCGACTCCTCAGGAGCTGAGCGAGGACGCCTACCGTTGCGGTCCGGCTTCCGTCGAAGCTGTGAAGAAGGGCGAGGTCCTGCGACCCTACGACAATGGTTTCCTCTTCGCGGAGGTGAACGCGGACAAGGTGTTCTGGCGGTACAACGGTCCGACCCAGCCCTTGAAGCTGATTCGAAAGGACGTGTACGGGTGAGGCTCGAGTAGCTTTACGAGCCGCAGCTCTCGCGGACGTCTCTTTCATTCCCTTGTTTCCAGGATCGGCCAGTTTATCAGCACCAAGGCTGTCGGGAGATGGGCGAGGGAGGACATCACTCATACCTACAAGTATCCTGAAAGTAAGCTCTCTCCTGCCTTGTCTTTAACCCATTGCCTCGTGACTTCTTCTTCGGTGCGATCGTTACGACTGCTGTGGCATTGACTCCTTGACCTATCATCTCTTTCTCAACTCTGATCGATACGGCTACTTTGTCATTAATAATTTATTGGAAAGAGAAAAATTCTAAGCATATGTTATGCCTATATTTCCTGTTAAGTATAAGAGTTGATCACAGAGGGATATATTTACTTTGAATTCGAATGAACCGAGTAATATGTTTGTTGAATCATGTTGAAACTGTTCACCACGAGTCTCACTCTGAGTTTAAAATTTGCGACTGTCGTCGAGATAAAATCTAGCCAAGTATGCCATAAAGTATAAGAATTGATAATAGATCATGAATTTCATTTGAATTCGAAAGAATCGAGTGATATTTGTGACCGTAAAATTCTCTTTGGACTGTTCACTGCGAGTTCGACGCGTTATTACGAGGCAGAGGGTTAATTGAGTTAATAACATTCGACGGGAACAACAATCTGCATCGATTTATTTCCGCAGAGTCGGAGGAAGAGCGGGCTGCCATGCTGAAGGCGCTACGCCAGAGTCAATCGTTGTTCAGCCGCTACTACTTGAACGAGGAATTCAACGACATCATGTTCAACTTCGAGCTTCGCGACGACATCGTGATCGGTGAACCGTTCAGGTAGTCCCCTGTCTTTACACGCGTGAATCCCGTGTCGTTCGCGTCGCGTTTCACGGAGGACCTACCTGTTTCATGTTGCAGTGTCGTGTTGCTGATCAAAAATCGAAGTAGCTACAACGAATACCGGGTCTCGGTGATTTTGAGGGTGGAAACGGTGCTGTACACCGGTCGAGTCGGCGACCCGGTGAAGAGATTAAACATCGATCGGCTGGTGAGGCCCGGAGTTCTCGAGGAGGTGCGGATGGACGTGTCCTGGGAAGAGTACGGTCTGCGACTGATGAACCAGTGCGCGTTCAATATCGCCTGCTTGGCCACCGTCAAGGACACTAACTTCGAGTACTTCGCGCAGGACGATTTCCGTGTTAGGAAGCCGGACATTAAAATTATGGTATGTGCACCATCGTCGCGATATCCGAACACTATAGCTAGCCGATGGCTGAAAATGATCTGAGATTTCTGCTTCTGTGAGTTTGGAACAGAAGTTTTCGAGTTAAGTTCAATGCGCATTCTGAAATATGAACCAATGAATATCTTAATGAACGCATTTTCGTGACTGATAGAAGGTCACGCGTATCAAGCGATTCGCTTGTACTTCCACTACTAACGAAGACATCGAATTCTCTGTTGCAGTTGGAGAACGATCCGGTGGTCGGCGAGACGTTGAACGCCAGGGCGAGATTCAAGAACCCTCTACCGATCCCGTTGAGAAAGTGCAGATTCCTGATCGAGGGACCCGGCTTGGACGAGCAGTTGAAGCTGAAACTGTCGGAGCCCGTCGAGGTGGACACCGACGCGGAATGCTCGTTCTCCATGGTGCCTAAATTCGAAGGCCGCGCGACGATCGCCGCGAAGTTTTACTCGAAGGAGCTGGAGGACGTCGACGGTTTCATAAATTTCATGGTGAAACCGTCGGCAGCCGTGGACGGCGAATAAGCGGCGTCGGTTCTAAATGAAATCGGCGAACGTTGCCGGACGTTCGCGCACGCCGTTCGGCGGAGCTAGCATTAAGTCAATATTTATTCTCGTAATCTCGTACAAGATGGAACGTACAAAGCACGCCCGTCGTCCGGTCCCTGTCGCGGCTACGTCGAGCCGACGAGCGGCAGGCGGTCGCGGCGAACTGTCAGAAACTGGCAGCGGTAACGGAACGAATGGCATACCGGTTCGGAACGGGCTTCTGCGTCGAGCCAATAAAAAATTCAATCGGCGGTGAACTACCTGAGCGGCGCGGATGGCCGAGGACTACCGGCTACACGTGGCAGGCGATATTAACGAGCGGCGATCGGGGACCAGCGCGGCCGGCCGATTATTCCGAATAAGAGAAGGACGGTTAAACAGCGGATCGAACGAGAGGAGAGGACGGAGGACGGACGCCGCGCAACGAGAGCCGGGCGCAGCGATGATGAGCCCTCGCGACGCATCGCTACTCACGAGCATGACGCGGGCCATGCATCACCATCTAGGAAATTAATGTTGAAATATAACGTACAACGAACGACGGGGACGCCGGAGGAGACGAGGCTCGTCCGCGCGTCCGGAGAAGGGACCGTCGAACGGCCGCGAACAACGGGGACACAATGGGAAACGAGATCGAGCTCGCGTCGCTCGCGGTCGTATTGCTACGGACGATTCTTTCCTGGGCCCCCTTTTTCTTTCTCTCTCTCTCTCCCTCTCTCTCTCTCTCTCTCTGTCTCTCTGTCTGCGACGCGATCGTCTTCGTTTTACGATCCCGTGGAATGCGCGTCCGTGGCACGGAATCACTTACGGACAAGGTAATATTTTTGTAGCGGGTTCCCGTCTCGATTACGGGGAGGACGAGGGGGAAGGGAAGGCAACGATAAGCTGGTAGCAAGTGAAGACGAATACGAGGATCGTATACGGGAGAAGAAAAATGGTAAACGAAAGGTCGGAGCCGAACGAGACGCGCTGGAAGACCGGCGGACGGGGCGAGAGAGAGGGAGAGAGCTTTGAGGAAGAACGATACAGAAGATAGCAGTGAGATATGTCTAAATACATAACCGTGACACGTGATGGACGTGTTGCGGCCCCTGTCTACAGGGGTCTCGGCGAAGCCTACGGGGCCCGTACCGATCTCCATTTGGATCCACGGGATCCTGGACTCGGCACCCTGCTACGCGCTATGCATCAACACCCAAGATCCATCCCATTATACCTCATCAAAATAACAAACACGCCTTCCATGCTAAACCAACATTCTTTTGTTCCCATCGAATCCCAGGATCCATCAGAATCACCGCGAACAGTGCGTCAGTGACGTATATGTTTTCGTGTAGCCGCCGGCCATAGGGGGTCCCGCAGGCCCGCAACAATCCGAGAAGATACCGTGAAATATTGTCCAATGACGGGAGGTCGATTGCGTGCCCCGAAACTTCTTTACCGAGGATTTTCCTCCCTTCTGCGCCTGTTCGGTCCTCCTCGGGTTTCCCCTGGGATCTCAGCTTTTACGAGTGTTACGCGGTAAACGATATTGTTCGTGGTTTATTATATCGTTAGAACTTGGTACCTTCGAATTGTATTCCTTGAGAAACCGGAAACGCTTCGCGTAAGCGTGACGTTAGCGTTGGGGAAGAAAAAGGTTTCACCCCCTAACGAGCGTGTCGGTTGCGAGTCGCGCCCCTAGATGGCGGCACGGTCCTCGAATGGAGAACACGGTTGGACTTGGGTGTCCTTACGTACCGCGAAACAGGGATCGCCCGGAGAGTATCCTCGTTTCCCATGGAATCGTACGATGATCGATACTCTGGGAGAACGGAGAATGTTGGGAGCGTAGGAGCGACTAATATAGGTAACAAGTGGTTACGTTCGTAATTAGCTAGCGCATAGATCGTGTACGATTGTTGCTGGACGCTTGATTTCAATTCCACGCGGAAACTCGTCCGCATTTAACACTAGGACCACCGAGTAGTTGGAGTCAATTTTCGAATGGGTCCACTCGATGCTGGTAGCTCTAATCGAACATTCGCAGTTCTAGCTTTGGCGGTTCTAGGTGAATAGTCCTAGTGCTTCTAAGTTAAATAAATTTAGCAGTCCTTTCGATAGTCTCGTGTCTAACTTTGGCGGTTCTAGTTGAACAGTCCTAGTGCTTCTAAGTTAAATAAATTTAGTAGTCCTTATAGTCTCGCTTCTGGCAGTCCTGGTTCCAGTAGCTCTACTTCCACTGATTCTAGTCTCGATAATTCTAGTTCTAACAGCTGCGACTCCGACAATTCTACCCCTAGTAGTTCCAATTCCGATTCTGCTACCGGTACCTCCGTCGACTCGATGATTCGCATCGGAATTCGATTTCCCGCCAAGGAGAGCGCGCAAATTTGCCAGCAGCGGTAAAGCTGCTCGTCGAATTCTTGGCATCGCCATCCCCCGGCTCGACGGAGTACGTAACTCGGGCATCGAGGGCTGGAAGTCGGCCCTAAAGCAGGACTTAATTTCACGATCCGAAGCGGTGCCCGGAAGTGGCGCGCATCCAGCCGCATGCACGTGTAAGTAATGTTTCCTGTCATCAGGAAAACTCGCCGCAGTAAAAGTCTCGGAATGGTTACGGGCTTCCCTTTTACGTTCCTGGGTCCTTTATTCCTCGCGATTCGTCCGCGTAACGTAGAGACTCGGGGCTCTAATTCTTGACATTTATTTTCCACGCGAACAACGGGTCCGCCGGCGGAACGATAATTAGAAAACGGTACGCGGGACGGAGCAGGCGGCGTCGGATCGGCGAGATCCGCCCCCGGCGCGACCTAACCCGAGCGAACTGACCCGACCCGACCCGTCGGGACCCGCGACACGCCGAACGCTTGACATCCCTTGACAGTCCGCACCGTTTGCTCTCCTCTGTTTGCCCGAGGATTCCCCGCACAGCCGCGCTTTGTCCAAACAAGGGCTGAATGATTGGGTAACGACGAGAAGAAAGGTAATTCATCTGGCCGACGCGTCCAGCCCGGTGATCCATTCCCTGGGCACAATGTTCCCGCAGATAGAATGGAGCGAAAGTCGGCCGCCGGACCGTCTTTTGTTGCCGCCTATCGCATTCGAACGTCAAGCTATCGTCTTGTCTCGTCCTGTTGTCGCAACGATTCGCGGGGAACAGATTTCTTCTCTCTCGACCACGACGCGAGGCGGTCTAAAAGGTCTATACACGTTATGACACGTTTCGTTGATACATCGACGCCGGGCACCGTTGCCTCCTCGCAACCTCGCCGCTGGTTTCAATGATAGAGTCCGCGGTCATCGCGAGAAATACAGATCTAGAAAGTAAAAGGACATTGTGCCTAGATCTCCGATACCATCGTTTCCTCGGTGCTCTTTCAGCTGATGGCGCAACACCGACGAGTCTCCGAGTGTCTTCTAACATACTCGTCGTTTCGCCAGGAATGCTTTAAGATTCGAGAATAGCAGCGGAAAATCACAGTTGGACCACGCGATTCTAGTTTTCTAACGATACGCCGAACATGTAGAAAAACCGAGGAGCACGTAGGAGTTGGAACGGTTTCCTCGAACATGGCGTCGACCGCCGCCATACGAAAATTCGCGTCTAATCCCCATCGCGATAGCAACCAGTGTTTACTCGCGCTCGGGCCGAACAGTTGCGAGCGGATAGCGTATTTGCGAGAGGATTTCTTCCTGGCGACAGACAGCGGCGGCCGGCCCGGCCACTCCGCCTACCTCCGGTTCGCCGGGCGAAGGGTGGTTGTATTTAGGGATCGTAGGAGGGATTCCGAAGACGATACGGTCCCGGATGGGACGCGAAAAAAGGGAGCAGGAAATGGCGCGTCTGCCTTATTACGCATGCACCCCGTCCGGCGAAAAGGATTCGTTTACCGATCGACGGGCCTATCCTCTCGCTCGCCCACTAGCAACCGTGCCCGCGGCTCAATGTAAACACTAATATGCAAACGATCGTTCGTCCGGCGAATTTCAACGCGGCTGCTCGGTACCGAACGCTCCGGTGGCTTATTACTGCCCGAGAGTTTCGCGTGCATTAGGAAGAGAACGGTTCCAGGGTCGGCGGAGAATAGGGAAGCCGGTGTTCCCGGTAAAACGCGACTCGTTAGCGCTTCGGCGTCCGATTCGCGGCGGCTGACGTGCTAAGAGGGAGCAGCCGTGTGCGTGAACCGGTTCGTAAAACGGCGGAAAGGATGCGAGGACAAAGGATCGCGGCCGATTAGGGCCGAGCGGATCGGTGTTCGACAGAGAGCGTTGGCTGGTGAGCCGGAGGAATCGCGTGACAACGTTTAGCGGAAGGAGCGACGCTCATTTAGGCCGTTTAAACGTTAGAAAGGACAGGCAGCAGTGCCCGCGGGAAACAGCGGCCATTGTGTCGGCCATCTTTGACCAGCAACTGTTACCGTCGGCGGTAAAACTCGTGACGCGGCGAAATGACGGGTTGCGAGGAACATTTGGCTGGCGTGGACGTCGGCCTCTCGCGCTCGTTCTGCCTCCGTCCGACACAATGGACGCTCGAGATTGCGCGCGCGGAAGCCGGTAGCCGGAAGACAATTGAACCGCAACGTTCCGATTCGCCGAAAAGCGCGGGCTAATCGGCCGGCCGTGTCTCTATGGCCGCGGTGCCTCGCGTGCCCCGCGTAATCGCTTGTCACCGAAATTCATTCGGGCCCGTGACAACGTTATACGATTACGCCCGACCGCATCGTTCCCGATAAATGGGACACGTCTACTTAGGAAGTAATTTTCCGTCCCGACGTCCGCGGCCGCACGGCACTCTTTGTTGCGCTAACTGTCCCCGATCCGTGGCCGGCTGAAATTATCGCCGGTTCACGCTACCCATCCGTTTCTCACGCTCTCGGTCGCCGGCGAATGCGGTTCGACGACTGGCGAGCTGCGGTCTAAGTGGACATCGGTTGGAGACAGTTGTTGCCCGATGTCCAACGAAAACGCCATAGCGTTCGTATAGAACTCGACGATAAACTAGTCTTCGTTCTAAATTATTCAGGGAACATCGTATCTATCTTATACATATATATACAAGAACAGCTTTCAATCGGAAGCGATCGATAAACACGCTACCGCATCATCGCGATGCCAATTTGTGTACGCTAATGGGTTGCTCGGCTTCCCGTATTGTTCGTACGAGGCGATCGTTGGTAAGACGATCGGCTGCCGCGATCCGCCGAACCGTTTAACCAATCGCCGCTATCGGGCAACAAATTTGTTCAGCGTGCCACGAGGAGACCGATCGAAAAAGCGCGGCCCGTTTTATGGGAAGGACGTCGGGCAAGCGAGCGGCGGGCAGGTCGGTCGGTTGTCCCGAGGGAGAAATCGCGGGTTTATATAGCCAGTTGACATCGAAATCCAGTGACGTATCTAATTGGGAGCAGTTTAACGGCGAGGGCGGATCACCAGGATAAGCCGTAAGCCGATGAAGCCGCTGCACGAGATCACCCCAGGCTTATAACTGCCGGGGAATCTTCTCTTCGGACCTCTCTCTTTTCCGAGAGCGCGCCCCGCTCCTCCAGCGAGAGTATTCCGGGCCGTGATACGACACGCAACCCTCTTTCCAGCGCCCGGCCGGGGCCGGGGCCGGCCCCGCGCACCCCCAGCTGCTACCCTCGCCTATCTGCCGGAGAATCCGGCGTAAATAATGCCGATTATCCCCCCGGCAATTGTTTTATCGACCGAGCTGTCCCGCTCGAAGAGAGCAATCTCGAAAGAGGGTGACTCCGTTCCGCGCCTCACCTCCGACCTTTCCCCGGAACCCACTCCGCTGACCTTACACAGATTTACGAGTCGCTTCGCGGAGGGTGAAGATTCGCAAAGTAAATTTCCTTCGTCCTCCTCCGTCGTGGATGGCCGCGAAGTTTACGAAAAATTCCGGCTCCGTTGAGAGGCCTGAATCGAACGAATATTCCGACCGTTTAACCCTTCGCGCCGTGACAACGATCAAATTCAACGTTCGCTGTTCGTCGAGTTGCGTGTAACGTATCGAGCGTCTAAACGAATCAAATTCCTGTTGCAGAAGTTCAAGCTGAAATTTCAATGATTCATCGCCGAAGAACAAGGAGGTTCCTTCGATATCATTAACAGTGAAACAAATCCAACAGACGTACTCGCTGGAAGGCCCGTTTCGACTAGCCCGAGGCAAAACGCCGTTCCATTATCGTCGAACTCCGAAGTTCGCTTGATCATTACCAAACAACACGGTGTTCCGGTGCAAAAACCGTTCGATGCCAAAAGAACACCGTCGAGCGAGTAGATTCCCGAGGAAAAACACGCCGCGAGGGGTTAATCCCCGCGGATCGACGACGTTCGCTCCGCGAAAGGATCGCCGCTCCTTCCGCCTTTTAATGGGACCGATAAAAAAATATCGCGTCGTAACTCATCTCTTGCCCCCTCCGTCGGCTTCCTCCCTATAGATCGCGGGTAAACGAGCGCGTTTATAATTTT